TAATTGTTTTTTTATCAGCGAGTAGCCCAAGTGGGCCTTATCAAGCACTTCCTCGCATTATTTGATTTCTTTTCCTTCCAAGAGATTCTCAGCACTCAATAAGAAACAACATTTTTGTTGCTTCAATTTTATTTACAGTCCACCATTCACAGCCGTACTGAAAGGTTGACAACACAGCCTTTTAGAACTATCATTTTGGTAGCCATTGATATGTTATATTTTTCTCAGGATTGAGCTCATTATATTGTAATTATCTTCAGCCATTGCAATTCTTCGTTTTATTTCGGTGGAACATTTGACTCCGGATATCATTTAAATATATAATATACTATTTAAAAACATCTTACGGAGGAAATAGTCAAATTGGTTCCATGTACCCTACATTGTATTTTTTCACTAAAAGATAGAATTAAGAACAGAACAGAAAAAAACAACCCACCATACCTTTGGCAGAGTGAGCTGTGAGATGGGAAGTGGCCTGGTTAGGGAGTGGGGGTGGGAAGGTGGAGGGTGAGGGTGAGGAGGAAGGGGAGGGGAGGGGAGGAGCAAGCTTCGTAGTTGTTTACATTCCCAGCTGGGCCAGGGAGGTTTCACCTGGCTGTCTGCCTGCTTAAGAGAACTGGGTGGTGGGTTTTTTCCAGACGATGAAACCGAATGATTTCTGTAAGCTTAGGTTGAGTTGAAGTTAAAGAGCAGTACATCGTCGCGATAACAGTTATATAGTGCTTCGGAAGAGTAGGAGTGACAGAAGGGCGCAGCAGGGGAGAGAGTAAAGGAGTAGGGCTTCAGCCATTTCCCCTCGATACAGAAACGAAAATGGACATAACGATAGCGAGAGAGAAACAAGGATGAAGTTACACAGAGTAGTTTTACATCGCGGATGCCATACTGTTTGAGCATGTTGGCTCGCTGTCTGAACGTTACCGACATTTGCCTCTAATTTGTCTGTCTGTTTGTTTTATTACATGTATGTGTCTGTCTGTCTGTCTGTCTGTCTGTCTGTCTGTCT